CGCCGGTAGAGGCGCGCATGCACCGAGGGATAGGCCCGGCGGCGGCGGAATCTGTTTGGACGCCCCACATCGGTAAAGTCAACCAGCATAGTAAGGATGCGCGATAAGGATGCAAGGGCATTGGACGCCCATTTCGAAGCTTTTCGAGCTGGGCGCGGAAAGCGAAAGCGGCGAAGGATGGACCGAGGAGGCGAGGATTCAAGGGTACCCTTGGGAAGGCTGCCTATCCTTGCGATCATGGTTGACTGTACGGAAGAGAGGGGCACGAAGCCCAACAGCAAGATGGTCCATGACCGACAGCGGCCGCCATGGGGGGCAGGCGGCTTGCCGTCTCAACTGGACAACGACCGCACCGGCCCCGGCAGCGAGTGCGGCTTATCAGGAACCGGGGACACTGTCGGTCTTTGTGCCCGTTCTTCCCGCATTCATGTCGACCGTCTCGAATGGGGCCCCGTCGGCTTGGACTGTCGGCCCGACGGAAGCGGGGCGCAGTGAGGGGTGGGGATCGATCGTTCATGAAGGGGCCCAGGGACACACAGAGAAGTGCACAGCGATCCCAAGATTCCTTACATTTTCTCACATTTTCTGAATTTTCGTCTTACTCCCCACTTCCCGTAGTTTTCCATATTTTTCGGGGAATCGTCGATTCATTGTGTCCGTGTGTTTTTGTTTCCCTTCCCGAGTTTAGACAGATCCACATTCTTTTAGTTTCCCTGCCCCCCCCTCCTCCTCTGAAGATGTTCCTTCTCTCTGGAGCAGGGGCGGGGGGGGGGCACGAGGTGGATCTGTATCGCTGTCCTCCTCCTCTTTCTTCACCTCCTCCTCATCCTGCTCCTGCTCTTGCTCCTCCTTCGCCTCCTCTTCCTCCTCATCCTGCTCACGCAACTGACTTTCCCGGGGCGCCACTGTATCGAGCAAAGCACATGGCGGAGGGGCCAAAAGGCCGAAACCTCTGCACGCAGCAGGTGTCGTAACCCAGCCTTCCCCTCTCCACCCTGACCAGGCTCGAGCTTTTTCCCATCCCTGAGATTGACAAGCCCAACGGTGGTGACAATCTTAGGGATGCACCCTCAAAAACTGAGAGACTCCTTAACGGCATCGAGAGAAGATGATGTCGGTCATGGGGATAGGGACACGACTCAGGCTTATAACCCCCATTCGTCCGACTGGAGCCCCCGGGCCCGAAGAGGGACAGCGTGGACTTAGCTCCGTCGGCCGGGACGGACTCCATGGTCCACCCGGCCCCCTCGTGGAGGAGCCAACGGCATCTCCAGGACGTGCGTCAGCCCAGCCCGATCCACTGGGCACGGGATCCGCCGAGCGAATACCAGTGCAGGCGGCCAGCTCATCGGCGAAGCATCGGCCCTGGCCCTCGCTGACTCTGGGCACAGCCCGACCCTGGGTCCGGGATCACCTGTTTCGAAAAACTGCAAGTTCGCAATGAATCAAGACAAGGGCCCTAGATCCAATCTTTCTGAAGCAATGTTTGATCGTCCCAGGGCCCGAAACAATGCAAAATTGCCCGTTGTGAAAAAATGCGACACCAGGATCTCAGCGCCCGCCGATGCCAAGATCGGTCCAGGTGGCTGGCTGACTCCATCCAAGCCGGCAGAAAGCGCTCGCACTGCGCTTTGGGCGTGGCTTACTGGGGGGAGCATTTTAGTGGAGCGGAAGAAACGTACAACTTTCGTGTCCCTCTTGGGCCCCAGGGGGCACCTTCAGGGCCCCTAAGGTGCATAAAGGTGCGCCTTTCCTCACCCCCCCGTGTACCGCCCCCGTCGATCATCCGTAGAACGTGTGTCAGCGCCATCGTGTGCTTGTCCGCAGAAGTCCGCCAATAAGACGCAGGCCGTTTTCACGAGGGCCGACATTGACTGCGTGCTATCGGTGGCGCTGGGCGGGATAACACATTTTTTGGGGCGTCGCGGCCATGCGCGCGGCAACAGGGCGGAGAAGGTCGTACAGCAACGAACGCGCGTGCGCGACTAGTAACGCCCGAACCCTCAGAGACGTTCAGGGTCCCGCAGCGGCGGGCCGCCATAAGCCATCCCGGCGTGGATGACGGGGGCAGCGGTGGAAGGACGAGCCTACGGCACGGTGGAGGGCACACACTTGGAGAACACCCGACCTGAGGTCGGGAGCGGCCAAAAGGGGGGTGTCCAAGAGGGGGGGGGTGCAAATCATGACCGGCGGCATGTGCGCGGCCCAGCGGGAGGGCCAGGGACGTAATGAAATAAGAAGAGGCGCCATGAAATCTGGGGAAAAATCCGCCGACCCCTTGTGGGTCTCTAGGCGTGTGAGATAGTTCCCCCCCCTAACCCCCCCCCCTGGGACCCCAAACCGGAGATTTGACCCCCCCCCCAGGGCCCACGACGAGCGCGTCACAGGGCTTTTTTGGTCCCAGAAGGGGATCAAGACGGGCCCAAGACTCCTCCAAGACGGCTCACGAGGGCTCCGAGGCGCCAAACGAGCGCTCCCAGACGCCCAAGATGCCCTAGAGGAGGCCTCCAAGACGGCCCAAGAGGCCTCCAAGAGCAGTCCTCAGAAGGGCCGAAGCGCCGAAAATCGTCAAATTCCTATGGGAAAACGTACATTTTGATCATATACTACTTGTCGGCCTTCACGGCGTTGACGACGGTCCCAGAGCACCCCAAGACCGCCCCGAGAGGCCCCCAAGAGGCGCCCAAGTCGGCCCAAGAGGGCGCCAAGACGGCCCAAGAGGCCCCCAAGACAGCCCAAGAGGGCCCCAAGACGGCCCCAAGAGGTGCCCAAGAGGGGGAGCCCGAACCGACAATCCGAGCCTTCCGCCCCAAGACGGCCCCAGAAGGCCCCAAGAGGCCCCAAGAGGCCCCCAAGACGCCCACAAGAGGCCCCAAGAGGCCCCCAAGAGGCTCCAAAACGGCCTCACAACGGCCCCCAAAAAACTTCGAAACTGCCTTCAAGAGTCCCGCGAGAAGCCCCCCAAGAGATCCCAACGATCACCGCACAAGTCTCACATCAACAACCCAGGCACGGTGGCGGGGCTGCGTTTGCGCACACAAAAGGATTCGCGCTCTCGAAGCCAAACTTGCTCCAAAACGGCCCAGGATGGCTCCGAAACGGCCCAAGATGGCACCAAGACGGCCCAAAACAGTTCGAAGACGGCCCAAGATGGCCTCGAGGTGGCCTAAAAGGCTTTCACCATCGCCCACGAGGTCTCCAAGAAGACCCCCAAGACGTCTGAAAGAGGCGCACATTACGCATTTCATTACATTTCCATTGCGTTGTTGAACATGTTTGCACTTGTTGCCTTTCTCGGCTTCCGTCGGCTCACGTAGCCCCAAAAGCCTCCAAAATCGCCCCACGGCGCCCCAAGAGGGCCTCAAGACGGCCCCAGAGAATCCTAGCACGGCCCTGGACGCCTCCCAATTCGGCCTAAGACGACCCCAAGACGGCAAAACCTGCCTCCAAATTGGTCCCAAGCTGGTGCAAGACGCCTCTGACCCAAAACCCATAACCCAGAGCCTTGTTTCTGTGTCCCCTTCCTCCTTCTCCTCCTCCTCCTCCACCTCGGCCGCCAGGCAGGTTCAAAACTGCTTTCCAGAGGTCCCCGAGAAGCGTGCCGCGAGATCCCTATACACATACGAAAAGCCTCTAACCCATAGCACATATCCCGGAGTTTCGTCTCTGTGTCCCCGTCCTCCTCCCCCTCTCCTCCTCCTCTCCCACCTCCTCCTCGCCCACTCCTCCTCTTCCTCCCCCGCCTCATCCTCTTCCTCCCCGGTTCTTCTCCCCCCATCCTCCGCCTCACCCCCCATCCCTGTCCTCCCCCGCACGCGCGCCCCCGATTGGGCATCATTTGCAGGTCTTGCATATCAGGATTTGTTGTTTGCGTCGCGTGCGACGTTGGAGGGGTCCCCGGAGAACGCCGACTTCGGTAGTCTTCTCTTGCACGCGCCTATGCTTCAAATGTTTCGTGTCCGAGAACGCTTCTCCGCACGCCGCGCACGTCAGTGGCTTCGCGTCTGCCTCGGCCTTCCGCTTGCGATTCGCTGCCTCCACATTCCCCCGTCGCACCTCTTTCTCTCGTTCTTCCGCGCATTTCCGACCGAGCCTTTCCCCCGCAGCATCGTGCTTCTTCTGAGCTTCCGACATATCCGCCTTTTCGTCATATAGCGACAGGCGCTTACCGTTCGTACGTCGCACTGTTCCGACGCTCTGATTACACTTCGCGCTGTCTTTCCGCGAGTTCTGCTTGGCTTTGATACCGCTGCACTTCGCGCAGGACATGCCACCATGGCGCTGCCATGGTGGCATGTACATGCCACCGCGGAGGCCCGCAGTCAGGTAAAAAATAGAATCCCTTGAAACAGTGATGGCGACAACGACAACAATGATTATGACGAGGATGATACCGATGATGATGATGATGCTTAGCATGATGGTGGTGATGATAATGCTGATGATGATGATGGTGGTGATGATGATGATGATGATGGTGACGGTAATGATGATGATGATGATGGTGGCGATGGCCTCGGGCTCGTAACGTGCCTGGACCTAGCAATGCGGAACAAACCGCGAACACCTTCTCGGTTCCCAAGCGTGTGAGACCCGTCCCCTCCACAGCCCCGATGTGTCCCGTGCGGGCTCAGGGATGCCCCAAAAAAACAACCCCGCCTCACCAAAGAAGTCAAACCCAGCAAGAAATATACGGGCCCCACTCCAACGCTTCCACCCTTTGGGCATCTCCAGAACGATGCCAATATTGCATTAGCGTCCTTTCTTTTCCGATGGGCCCCCCAGGGCCTCGAGATGACCCCAAGCGGATTCCACATGGCCCCAAGAGAGGTCATTATGGACCCCTACACGACTCCCCAGCCCGCTTCAAGCGAGCCGGCAAGACCGCCAAGATGAGGGGTCGGCGGATGTGGCGTAAGCCTATAGATCATGGCCCCCGCCATGATACCCACCCCCCCCTAGTCATCACCCGGTTTTCTTTTCCGCCCCCGAAGAAGAACACCCGACCTGAGGATCATCGAATCACGCAGCGACCCGGGCCGGCCGACGCCCTCCCAGCCGGCGGACGGCACCCGCCCCGCACTCTTTGTCTGCACGCTCGCTGGCCGAGCCGCCGCTCCCGCCGTCCGCGGCGTCCGCGGCGTCCAGGGCGCCCGGCGCGCCCGCGCCCGCGCGGCCACCCTCGCGCGGCCCACCGAACACCACCAGGGCCCGGATGGCCAGGTCCAGGTCGTGCCTGGGCGCGCCCTGTACCTCGGGGCGGAGGCGAGCGCGCTGGATCGGGTCTGGACGCCCGAGATCGGTACGGAGAAACTGGGCACGGTGCCCAACGACAGAGGCTGTCCTGAGCCAACAGCTGTCGCTGTTGGGCAGGCAGCCTCCTGCCTCACATGGACACAACCCGCGGCGACGCCGGCAGCGAATCCGGTTCAAAACAAACAGGGGCTGATGTCGGTCTTTGTACCCATTCTTTCCGCACTCCATGTCGGTCGTCCCGATCGAGGAGGGTCGCGGAGGCCCGATGGAGACGGATCGAGGATCCAGGAGGATTCACGGGGTGCATGGCGACCCCAATCCCCGACTCTGTAGGGTTTTCAGACGGACCGAAACGTTGGAGCCAATCTCGGGGATATGCGAAGGGGGTGCGCCCATCCGATATATATATATATATATATATATAGAGGTATGTACAAAGAGACCCCTGAGCGTGCATCCCCGAGTTCCCATTCTTCTCTTAGCCCCCTGATCTTTCGAGCGGAGCTCAGGGATTGGGGGCGAGAGCTCGTCCGTGAAGGACGAGGAGGGTGGAGGGTCGAGGAAGATGAGATGCGCAAAGAATGCCCAGGGTAGAGCGCATAACAACCGCCCCCATACCAAGCGCGCCCAGCAAGCGAATCCGTGTAGTAAGCGCGCCCGAGGACGAATCGAACAGAGCAGGGCAGGTGAGTAAAAGCGAAGGCCGTTCTAGTAGTAATGACAATTCTGGGGGTAAGGGTGGTCTTTCCTCGCTTGATTGGGGAGGGCCGAAGAGGATCGAAGATGAATGGATGGAGGACCGAGAAGGGCCGAGAAGGATCGAGGATAAACGGATTGAGCCAGAGCTCGCTGGATCGAGGAGGGCCGAGGATGATGGATCGAGGACCGATGAGAGCCGAGGAGGTTGGCGGATCGAGGAGGGTTGAGGAAGGGGGGGATGCGCTAAGAGCACGTCCTCGGGCCCATCGACCTCTTCGTGTGTGTGTGTGAGTGCGTGTGTGCTCCCGCCAGCCCGATCCTGCCGCGTTTCTGCGCGCGTGGCCGCGACGCCAAAAAATTGTGCGTGTGTGTGTGTGAGTGTGTGAGTGTATGTGTGTGTGTACGTGTGTGTGTGTGTGTGCGTGTGTGTGTGTGTACGTGTGTGTGTGTGTGTGTGTCTGTGTGTGTGTGCGTGTGCGTGTGCGTGTGCGTGTCGGTGTGTGTGTGTGTGCGTTTTTGCGTGCGTGTGTGCGGGTGTGTGTGTGTGTTGGTGGGGCAGGGCCGCCTCCTCGCGCAAACAACCTGCCTCCCGCCGCCACGCAGGAGAGCAGGGGCGGCAGCCCCAGCGTTGAGCCTCGACTGGCCGCGCTCCCTTTTCAGGGCGCTGCACCCCTCCTTAATGTCGCCCTTTAGCGCGCACTGCACTTCGCTCGGCCCCGCTGGGCCTCGTCCTCGTCCTTCACGCTCGCAGCCGGGGCAGCCCCCTTGGCCTGCGCGTCCCCTCCCTGCCTTCCATGCCTAATTGGCTTATGCCGTCCTCCACACCTCATGCTGCCGTGCGGATGTCTCCCACGGTACTGCGTGTACCCTCCATGCTTTCCGCGCCAGAATGGCTTATGCTGGTAGGACTGCGTCCTAGGCGGTGCTCGAGGGCCTGGTCGCCGCGCGCACTGTTCGAATACTCAGCAAAACACGTGCGTGTGTGTGTGCGTGTGTGTATGTGTGTGCGTGGATGTGTGAGTGTGTGTGTGTGTGTGAGAGGGAGCGTGTGTGTGTGTGTGTGAGTGTGAGTGTGAGAGAGAGAGAGCGTGTGTGTGTGTGTGTGTGAGGGTGTGTGTGTGTGTGAGCGTGTGTGCGCGTGTGTGTGTGCGCGTGCGCGTGTGTGTGCGTATATGTGTGTGTGTGTGCGTCTGTGTGTGTGCGTGTGTGCGTGTGCGTGTGTGCGTGGATGTGTGAGTGTGCGCGTGTGTGTGTGTGTGTGCGCGCGCGCGGGTGCGTGTGTGTGTGTTGTGTGTGTGTTGTGTGTTGTGTGTGTGTGAGTGTGTGAGTGTGTGTACGTGTGTGTGTGTGTGTGTGCGTGTGTGTGTACGTGTGTGTGTGTGTGTGTGTGTATGTCTGTGTGTGTGCGTGTGCGTGTGCGTGTGCGGTGTGTGTGTGTGTGCGTGTTTTTGCGTGCGTGTGTGCGGGTGTGTGTGTGTGTGTGTTGGTGGGGCAGGGCCGCCTCCTCGCGCAAACAACCTGCCTCCCGCCGCCACGCAGGAGAGCAGGGGCGGCAGCCCCGGCGTTGAGCCTCGACTGGCCGCGCTCCCTTTTCAGGGCGCTGCCATACCAACCCCTGTAAGCCCTTTAGCGCGCACTGCACTTCGCTCGGCCCCGCTGGGCCTCGTCCTCGTCCTTCACGCTCGCAGCCGGGGCAGCCCCCTTGGCCTGCGCGTCCCTCCCTGCCTTCCATGCCTAATTGGCTTATGCCGTCCTCCACACCTCATGCTGCCGTGCGGATGTCTCCACACGGTACTGCGTGTTACCCTCCATGCTTTCCGCGCCAGAATGGCTTATGCTGGTAGGACTGCGTCCTAGGTGGTGCTCGAGGGCCTGGTCGCCGCGCGCACTGTTCGAATACTCAGCAAAACACATGCGCGTGTGTGTGTGCGTGTGTGTGTGTGTGTGTGCGTGGATGTGTGAGTGTGTGTGTGTGTGTGAGAGGGAGCGTGTGTGTGAGTGTGTGAGAGAGCGTGTGTGTGTGTGTGTGAGGGTGTGTGTGTCAGCGTGTGTGTGTGTGTGTGTGCGCGTGTGTGTGTGTGTGCGTATATGTGTGTGTGCGTCCGTGTGTGTGCGTGTGTGCGTGTGTGCGTGTGCGTGTGTGCGTGGATGTGTGAGTGTGCGCGTGTGTGTGTGTGTGCGCGTGTGTGTGTGTGTGCGCGCGCGGGTGTGTGTGTGTGTGTTGTGTGAGTGTGTGTGTGTGTACGTGTGTGTGTGTGCGTGTGTGTGTGTACGTGTGTGTGTGTGTGTCTGTGTGTGCGTGTGCGTGTGCGTGTGCGTGTCGGTGTGTGTGTGCGTGTTTTTGCGTGCGTGTGTGCGGGTGCGTGTGTGTGTGTGTTGGTGGGGCAGGGCCGCCTCCTCGCGCAAACAACCTGCCTCCCGCCGCCACGCAGGAGAGCAGGGGCGGCAGCCCCGGCGTTGAGCCTCGACTGGCCGCGCTCCCTTTTCAGGGCGCTGCACCCCTCCTTAATGTCGCCCTTTAGCGCGCACTGCACTTCGCTCGGCCCCGCTGGGCCTCGTCCTCGTCCTTCACGCTCGCAGCCGGGGCAGCCCCCTTGGCCTGCGCGTCCCCTCCCTGCCTTCCATGCCTAATTGGCTTATGCCGTCCTCCACACCTCATGCTGCCGTGCGGATGTCTCCCACGGTACTGCGTGTACCCTCCATGCTATCCGCGCCAGAATGGCTTATGCTGGTAGGACTGCGTCCTAGGTGGTGCTCGA